AGCTTGCATCATGAAGGAACAAGGTCAAGGCAGGTCTGCCTTCGGAAATGAATATTTCTTTCTACGATGCAATAACCGATGTCTCATAGTAAAACACTGTTGTCAATGCAACGGGATATCACAAACCGGAGAGGATTCGTTTATGCAAACGACTCAAGGTGATGATCTAGGTAAACACCGTGGTACATGCCAATATGCGTCATAAAATCGCCTGCTCATCCTTTCCAACGTGCTTTTAAGCAAGGATTTGCCGGGTTACCTATCTACCAAAACAATCAGCTCCAGAAAGTAGGATATCTCGAACCGGTTTGTTAAAAAGTGGAAAAAAGCCTGACTGAAATTCAATGGTATAAGCTTTCCTTTTTTTGTCTACACTCTGAGTTGAGGATGAACTTATGCACCTTTCATAACTGTTCCAAATTAAAATGGAAAGTTTACGTGCACAGCGGGAGGATTAGAATCGACAGATAGCTTCAAGAGATAACCAGTGTAAAAAGTCCGTTACAAAACAGTACAACGCTTGATATTTCGTTCATCCCTTATCAATGAGGTACAGGTTCCTAGAGATTAACAGCTTAGAGATGCACGTGGAAAATAAAAATACGCCTAACAGACGTTAAACCTTTACATCGCAATTTTTATTAAAATACACTGTTTAATCACTGATATAGTCACGTGAAGTTAAGGTGGATACTCAGTTAAGACTTACAAATTTAAAAAAACCTGACATTCTCCCTGCTACAAATATTTTTATCGATGTACCGATTACCGAAAACCCCGTGTATCAATATGATCCATGAGTCCGTGCTATATACTGTTTCTTAGGCCTTCAGCATGCAAACCTAGGTTTCAACTGACACGACAGAAAAACAATCAGGATTAGATCTAGTCATAAACGGCAGCACTGCAACACATCCTTGTCCCTAAAAGACAAGAAGGCTATTTTAACAGTCTATGAGTCAACTGCCGTTTAGCACCTGCAATGTATCGGCACATTTCAGAGCTATAACGTCATGTGTACCTCTAAAATTGAGCCCAAGTTCACATGCTGTATAAGAATACATAAGCATAAGAATACATTTACATAAAGCATAAGAATGAACGAGTTTTACGGTTATAATTGGTGAAGTGACAGTATTCTTGTCTTTAACAGCTTTTACAAGACGTATCGACGCATCGCCAGTACTCCAACATTGTAAAGCCGTAGCTCTTCTAAGTGGTTCCCTAGGCGAAAATGAGTAAAGGAAGAATACTACAATATCGCAAACCACGATTTGGTGGAAGTATATTCTGCCCATTTTTACCGCCTCCCGCCAGACAAACCAGCATTTCCTAACTATGGCGAAAATAGGTAAGAAGCAACAAGTGTTGATGCATCATCAATGACGAGCAAGATACTGTTTCAGCCTATGAAGAAATGCGATGGCATCATTGATATATCACGAAACCAGGCTTACTCAAATGATTTCCAAACCCTCAGCCTGCAAGGTGCGGTGCTAAAATGCTGATAAAACTATTGCTACTGCCGGTTTAAACTGTGTAGAAACAACGCTACGGGCCAAAATTGTTCAGTTAAAATTTACTGCGGCCCTATGAAGACAAAGGGCTAGTTTGCTGTCAACTTCGCATGTAATTCTGATTCTCATACCATCTGGTAGTCAGTTTTGACCAACTGCTCCACTGCTATCGAGTTCGCTGAAAGTACATCGAATAAAATCTTTTTATGTGCCAATCCTGAAAGGAACAGAGAAAAATAAAGACCGGAAATAAGCAGTTTCAAAATGTTTATCCACACGCCGAAACTGCTTACAAGCGTGTCCGGTTCGATTATGTTTAATCATGTATTTATAATTATGACGGACAAAAGTGATATAAACCTTCAAGCAATTTAACGCCCAACTTGACATGAGACTTTTTACTACGGATCAAGCAGAATGCGTAATCGAAAGCCACTTGACAACTTGGCTTGCCTTGACTCATCTGACTCGTGAAAATTTGTTCATGCTTCTAAAAACTGCCTTTAGTTAGAAAGGAAAACAAAACAATCCGCTACGAAGGTACCTTCAGGTCATCCGGGTCAACCTGCTCTTCGAGTAATGTGTCCAGGTCCATACCAGCCGTTGGAACAAAATTATTCAAATTAACTAAAAACATAACTTGCATATTAAAACAGCCAAACATGTACACGCTGGATCATTTTAAACGTCGGCTTAATCGAACGTAGCTACCATATAACTTGTATAAGACGGAAGAGTGCCCTAAGACTTACCATTCTGCTTTTCCCAGCCAGCGAAACAAAGTTTGTGCTTCATTTATTTTAGTGCATATACACATTAAGTCACATATTACAGCCGTACGAACTAGCAATATTAGTGCGATAGCTAACATTTAACTCCTTCGGACTCATTTCACAGCGTATTCCATTAATCCTCGTTGTCTAGGAGACAGACATTCAACCAGAATTCAGCGACGGTGCTTCAGCATTTGCAGTGTTACAAGCATTTCGTATTATTTTATTAGCTATACAGCAATTTCGTGCTTATCACAAACGGTACATTAGTTACCAGCTGGCACTCCTTCTGTGCAACCCCCATGAATATCAGAAAGATGGAAAATGTTATAAAACAGTGCTACAGCACCGCAAAACCGGGTTCGGTGGAATTAAGTGATATGTACTCATGAATTACATCACTGTTTAAACTTAACATTTGCAACGATAGATGTGCAAATTAAGATCGCTAAACGATATATTACAGCATGCCTGCATATGGAATCTACATATGTCGTATCAACAAACTGACTTTTCAGTGTCTTTGACAATAAACGAAAAAACGAAATATTCCAACAGCATACCGGACAGTACACTCAAAAGATAACACACACGAAATATTTAACCCATTTATATTATAACGGAGCGTGAATTCACCATTTTATAGACGTTACAAGATATTCAGTACGGTACGAATATCAAGCATACATTAAGCGACGCAACATACATGTAATGATATAATACTTTGTCACACAGATCAACGAAACAAAACCAGTGCGACTTTTACAAGCAGACTGACTCAATTATACTGGTAAGACATAATTATGTCAAAAGATCACATTTTTTCACACCTGTCTATCTGATCCTCTGGATGCTGGTACAACTTTCATTCACCTGATTCCATAATCCTATTTTCGCCGCAGCCTTACACGTTTATCACATCACTTTTGTACAGTGATACATTAGAATCTTACAGGTCCTTTGTAACAATATTGTATACAACGACCCCGTTATAATTATCTTCGTTAAACGTTTTATTATAACCTTGCTTTAACGTGCGTTTCAAATCGACCTCAGCAAAATTAGGAATCTGGAAATGAAATAAAAGAAATGAACCAAATATCTGAATCAAGATGATTTGACCGCATCTATGTCTTAAATTTATTTTGCGTAATGAAGTAGCTGTCAAATTCCGCTTCAAAGTACAAAACTATGACCTCCAGATGTGTGTGCATCTCTGCGAAGACTGAAACATATAAAAATTCATTAATCCGTCTACGCTCAGACTTTGCTTGAATGACTGAGTCTGTTGCAATCAGTTTTGTCTTGCAAATTTGTACGTCTACAATACTACATCAAATAAATTTTTGATAACTGTTTGGATGACGCAGTCATTAAATAATTGGATTCTTTATAACAAGAGCATCTGATTGAATCCAGGCATGTCAACAGTCTTTAACTTTTATAAGGTTGACACAAATTAAATTGTGTGTAACATAGAAGTGGCTATACTTTATTACTGCAACGGGTGAAACTACCCTCTTGAAAATAAATCCCAGTTGTGACTGGCGGTACCAAAATGTAAATTAGCACCTCAGTAAATAAACGTTACGATAAATCTACGCTGTAAAAAAAAGTTATGCAATTCTAACGGAGGCGAATATTCCAAAATTTTCATACCTTGGATCACTTGAACTAGCTAGTGATCGGCGACAAATCTTTCCGTCCGCAACTTGCCCGTCATTCCATCTGGTTCAAAGCCATCTCCCTACAAGTATGGCTTTCCAACATCGTGGTGAGCGACCAAGCTACATAGTTCGC